TGCCATTTTCAAGAGCAGAAACGGCTGCTGTGGCACTCTTGGGGATGTGGTATCATCTATGTCGTCCTTTAGTGGAACAGATGGAATGAGGACCACTGATAATCAATGCTCCCTCTGAGCTGTGGAGTCTTGTGAGCAAAAATTCTACTTTGTGAGCTCCTGGCATTAAAGTTGTGAGCGAGTGATTTGGCTGCTGCATAAATGAGTTTGCTCTGGAGCCCTCCTTCCTGAGCTAAGACAAAAATCTGTGAGCCGGCAGCTAAAAAACTGTGAGCTAGCTCACACTAACTCAGCGTAGAGGGAACACTGCTAAGAATTCGGCCTCCTTGTATTTGCATTACCCTGTCCCTTGATGTGCATGATTTCACCCTGTGTTCCATTTCTGGGTCCCGCTGAACTGTGACACCAAGCAAGGATTTAAATAACCATCCAAGAACTGCCTTTGTTTGTAGGAATGTATATATATCTATAAAATATGTGGGTGTATTTAAGAGATCGTCATTGTATGCCTTCCGGGCAGCAACAGTGTCATCTCTGTGTGGTTCTGTACAGCGCCTAGCACACTACTGAAGCTTCCATGAATGTGGAATTTAGACTTTCTTCTTAGAACCGGCCTGGGCAAGACTCTCGAATAAGCTTACCTGCTTCTAAACTGGCAATGATGGTGGTCTCCTGATCTTGATTTGCGGCAGCACATCTGTCTGTGGATGCGTGGAGTTGCTTTGTTTCCCCTCGGTGTTCCTTCTGTTAGGGCATGCATCCAGTCCGATACGGTCTATGCCAACGGAGCGTGGGTAGGCAGATGGATTTTTAATTGCTATCACAAAAGGGCGCATCTGCCTCCTTATTAAGGAAAGAGACGTGGTTGTGGATCTCTCTTGGGCCTCCCTCTGTTGTAGGTACACACTGAGGCTCATTGTGTCGCTTTGGGCCAATGCGGTTTGTGCTGTTGCGTACACAAAAGCTAGAGAGTAATCTCCTCCAGAGTTGATTTAGCCTGGGCTCAGCTCCCAGGCTGGGGATCAATGGTAAGCTGCAGCCCCTAAAATATGAATTGGAACAGTCGTGTATTTCTGGAACAGTCATGTATTTCTAGAAGGGCGTTTCCCTTGTAAAGTGCCCTTTTATAAAGGAAGGGCCGTGGCTCAGTGGTAGAGCATCTGCTTGGCATGCAGAAGGTCCCAGATTCAACCCCCTGGCATCTCCAGTTAAAAGGATCGGATAGCAGGTGATGTGAAAGATCCCTGCCTTAGAACCTGGAGAGCTGCTGTCGGTCCAAACAGACCAGACTGACCTTGATAGATCAAGGATCTGACTCAGTAGGATGCCCTTTCGTGCGTTCACAGAAGCACAGTCTTGTATTTATAATGTAAAGAGCATTAATTCCAGTGTTGCCTTTGGTGTTGGTGGGCTTTGAGTATTTGTATCAGCTCGTCCTTGTATTTTGTGAGTACCTCAGAGAACGGACGACAAACCTTTCTTTCAGACGCTGGTTGTTTAGTCTTGGAAGCCTCGGGCAGACAGCGTTCTTTGTGCCACTGCCTGCTTCCCCTTTTGGAGCCCGTGTCTTGTGCACGAGAGGCAGGGAGACAGACCGAACGGCATCCCTTTTGGAAAGGCAGCCAAGTACCTGCCCGATCTGGGGGGGGAGGGGATAACAAGCGGCTTGCAGTTTTTATCTCTCATCACGAATGTGTAATCCCTTTCCACGGGGAGAGCACTGCCTCTGTAATGGAAGGATTTCATTTCTGCTTTCAACTGGATGAGGAATTGGCTTGCGGCGGGACTAGCAGTACGTATGTGCGGAGTGTGTGCAGCAGTCAGTTGTGGGTTCTTCTCAGTCTGAGGGGGATGCTGTTGGTTCTCCTGTGACTGTACCCCCACCCCTCCCACAACCCTCTCATTAGGTGCCTGGCAACCCTAGCTGAAGTCCCTTCCACATTCATGCCACAATGGTGATCTGAATCCGGCCCTGCATGCCCAGGAGCTGAAGAAACCCCACGACTCCTACGTGGCTGCTGCACAGGGTGGGGACCCTGCTCCCGACCTGTGTCCTCCATAATGGGTAAATTAGTCCTAGCTTCCCATTGAATGGAGCTTGGTTGAATGGAGCTTGGTTCACATATGTGTTTTGGTCACCTGATGACTGCAGCATGTGTGAATGGACCATCCCCGATGCAACCTGTGTGACCTCCCATCCATTTTGTGTTACTGTTGTTCACGTCTTGTATTCAGCTGTGAATCATCAACAGTATGGGAGACGTAAGATCATAAGAGAAGCCATGTTGGATCAGGCCAATGGCCCAACCAGTCCAACACACAGTAGCCAAAACCCAGGTGCCATCAGGTCTACCAGTGGGGCCAGAGCTCCAGAAGCCCTCCCAGTGTTTCCCCCCAAGCACCAAGAATACAGATCTCCACTGCCCCAGACAGAGTGTTCCAGCTATAAGAACATAAGAGAAGCCATGCTGGATCAGGCCAGTGGACCCATCCAGTCCAACACTCTGTGTCACACAGTGGCCAAAACCCAGGTGCAATCAGGAGGTTCACCATTGAGGCCGAAACTCCAGAAGCCCTCCCAGTGTTGCCCCCAAGCTCCAAGAATACAGAGCATCACTGCGCCAGACAGAGTGTTCCAGCTATAAGAACATAAGAGAAGCCATGCTGGATCAGGCCAGTGGACCCATCCAGTCCAACACTCTGTGTCACACAGTGGCCAAAACCCAGGTGCCATCAGGAGGTCCACCAATGAGGCCAGAACTCCAGAAGCCCTCCCACTGTTGTCCCCCAAGCACCAAGAATACAGAGCATCACTGCGCCAGACAGAGTGTTCCCTCTATATCTTCGCTAATAGCCACTGTTGGACCTCATAAGTCCAGTGCAGACAATTTTTGCTCATGCATTAATCAGTGCTTGTATTTGCAAACTCAAACCCGTTCCCCATCCCCCCCCCTCCAGTACAGCTGTCAGAACAAAGTGTTTATGTTCCTCAAACGTAAGCGTCATTTTATTAGTGTATGTACATGAACCTTGGTATTTCTGGGTGTGAAACATAACCTTGGGGAAAGAAGAGTTCCTGTCCCGATACGCACAGCCTCCGAAAACGTTCAGGTTTTTACATCTGCTCCCGAGCTTAATTGGGAAACGTTTGGATTAGACTGGCACCGCCTACCCCTCTGTTTGTTGCTATGCCTTCAGCTAGGATGGTTACGAGGGGGTGGGCTAAGCGTGCGGAAGGGGGGAAGACCCAGGCTGGGATGTAGCAACTGCTTGTTTGTGTGAAGTCAGCAAACATGGGCTAGCGACGGGTGTGTGCGTCTGTTGGCACCGGAGCAACTCCAATAACAAAGGCAGCCCTTTAAATGCAGTCTTCGTGACTTTTCGGAGAGAGAGATTTTTTGTGTTTCATGGGGCAGCTGGGAAGAAAACAGACCGGGGTCGTTCCTCGCTACTGTCCCTCCCCCTCTCCTGCCACAGAATGGGCTGTTCCCCACATTACAGTATCCTGGAAAAGGCTGGAGCCATTTCCGCAGTAGTGAAATTTCCCGCATTGACATTTTAAAAACTGCACGTTAGTGAAATTTTCCGCTCTTTGATTTTTCCTCACCTGGTGCAAACCTGAAGTTTTCACCTTCTTACTTGGCGGTTTTGGAACTAGCTAAAACTGGGGATTCCAAAAACGCGGGGTAATAAGGAGAAAACTTCAGGTTTGCACCTGGTGAGGAAAAATCTACTGTGGAAAATGTCACAGTGCGCAGTTTTAAAAGCGTCAATGCGGGGGATTTCCGTACTGTGGAAATGGCTAATCCTTGCAGCGAGGGGTTCCCGTGCCCTTCCCACATTTGTGGTGTATCTGTCGTGGAACTCATGCTGGGTTTCTAGAAGGTGCTGTCAGGGTTCCCAACCCCTGGGGCAGGAAATTCCTGGAGATTTGGGGGTGGAGCCAGAGAAGGATAGGGTTTAGGGGGGGAGGGAGGCTCTGCAGGGTTTAATGCCTCAGAGTCCACCCTCCAAAGCAGCCGTTTTCTCCAGGGAAATCAGTCGTCTGGAGATCAGCTGTTAATTCTGGGAGATCCACAGGCCCTGCCCAGAGGTTGGCAACCCTATGTAGTATGGACTCATACAGGCCTCTGGCCAAACCTGATGAATCTTGATGTCCTTCTGCACACACTGACAGTGGGAACACCCTGGCGCTGCCCTACAGCTGCAGGCAATGTGGTGTAGTGGTTAGAGTTTCAGAACAAGATCTGGCTCAGCCAGGTTCAAGTCCCTACTCTGCTGTGAAGGTTGCTGTGTGATCTTGGGCCGGTCACACTCTTTTACCCTAACCACCCTCCATAGGGTTATTCTGAGGCTGAAATGGAGAAGGAAGAAGCCATTGATGAAACAGAGTTCCTGGGAAGGAAGGGGCATGACCGATAGACAACAGCTGATAAGCTTGTTGAGGAACTCCTGATGAGCTTCCAAAGAACCATACTTTTCTCGGGAACACTGGTTGAAACCTTCTGGCCTTGCCAAGATATTAGCATCTCAGTTTCCTACTAGCTTTACCATTCAGTAGGCCTCATCCTGTGAGTCTTGTCTATTAGGAAGTGAATTTCCCAGCAGCCACCAATGAGATAGCAACAGGGAAGGAAAAACTCACTATACCGAGGGCAAAATTCACCTTATGAGGATTACTATTTGTTTCATTTATAGATTCAGGTGGGTAGCTAGGGTTGACAGGTCCCTTCTTCGTTGGCAACCCTAGCTGATAAGCTTGTTGAGGAACTCCTGGTGAACTTCCAAAGAACCATGCCTTTCTCGGGAACACTGGTCGAAACCTTCTGGCCTTGCCAAGATATTAGCATCTCAGTTTCCTACTAGCTTTACCATTCAGTAGCTAGCAATCCAAAAGAGTCCAGTGGAGCCTGAGCGGTGGGTGTTGCCTTCTGACACACTTCCGGTGATGTCAGGGGGTGTGGCATATGCAAATAAGTTATGCTAATGAGCTCCTGCACCTCTTTTTCTACTAAATGACCCCTGGCAACAAGGAAGGAAAAATTAACTATACCGAGGGCAAAATTCAATTTATGAGGATTACCATTTGTTTCTTTTATAGATTCAGGTGGGTAGCTAGGGTTGACAGGGCCCTTCTTCTTGCCAGCAGAGGGTGGGAGTGGGGCAGGGTTCTGCCCTCAAACAGCGGTGCAGTGACGTCACATAGACATGAAGTCATCAAGTCGGGGGCTGTCCCGTGGCATTGCTCTGGTTTGGGGGCAAAACTCTATGGCAGTGGTGGTGAACCTATGGCACGGGTGCCAGAGGTGGCACTCAGAGCCCACTCTGTGGGCACGCATGCCATTGCCCCAGCCAGGCCCAGACCATCATTAAAGTGTGGAATTCTCTGCCAAATAATTTTAAGTAAGTGAAAGCATTTGGGATTGCTTTCCTTACTTTGTTTGGATCATCTTAAGTTAATGTATGAGTTGTTTTTTCTAAAGTAAAACCTCGGTATTCAGGTTAAATTGCCGTGTTGGCACTTTGCGATAAATAAGTGGGTTTTGGGTCGCAGTTTGGGCACTCTAAAAGGTTCGCCATCACTGCTCTATGGTAAAATTGCCCTCGCGCTGTAGAGTTTTGCCCTCAGCCCCCTGACGTAATGATGTCAGTTCCATGTGACGTCACCCCGTTGGCAACGTTGTGGGGTGACGACACTGTTTGGAGGTGGGGTTTGAGGGGGCAGAAGCCCCCAACAGCAGGGAATCCCCTGCCCAGAGAATGGGAACCCTATAGGTAGCCGTGTTGGTCTGAAGCAGCAGAACAAAGTCTGAGTCCTGTGGCACCTTTAAGGCCAGCAAAGTTTATTCTGGGTGTAAGCTTTTGTGTGCACGCACACTTCTTCAGATACGCCAGCCATTACATATAGGTAGCAGTGAGGAGGATGTTGCCCGGAAGGGCCGATTAGGGCTACGACTGGATTAAGGCTAGGGTTGCCAAGTCTGGGATGGAAAATACCTGGAGACTTTGGGAGTGGAGCCAGGAGAGGGTGTGGTTTGGGGAGGGGAGGGTCCTCAGCAGGGTACAATGCCATAGAGTCCACCCTTCATAGCAGCCATTTTCTCCAGAGGAGCTGATCTTTTGCGGCTGGGGATCAGTTGTAAAAGCGGGAGATCTCCAGGCCCCACCTGGAGGCTGGCAACCCTAATTAAGGCAATCGGTAAAACCTGTGAATAGCAGCAAATATAGCTAAGATTGGGTTGAGACCCTTGGTAAGACCTGTGAATAGCAGCAGATTAACATACAGCATGATGAAGTTTACCCAGAATAAAACTTTGTTGGTCTTAGAGGTGCCACTGGACTCAAACTTTGTTTGTGTGGTATGGAACAACTGCATGGAGAAGTTGTCCTATAGACGCCGCCTCTATTCGCAAAGTGCGGTCCTTGCAAAACCTCAGCTCCTCTGCCTCTCAGCTAACGTACTGTGCCAAGCGTCGCCAGCAGCCATGCCATCGTAACATGCCGGCGAATTCAAAACCAGGTTTGAGCCTGGTAAGATCTGGTTCTCTCCCAGCCCTGTTGTGCCTGGCCTCATTGTCTGAGCCTTGAAGCATTTCTGATAATCATCTATTTTGCATTTGGAAGGGTTGGTTTCTGGTGAATCAACATTCAGGCCCCAAAGTATGAAATTACCTGTCCCAATGTGATCTTTTTTGTTTCCCTGTGTGGCAGCCGGTGAATGCGGCCTCCGATATGTGTGCGCGTACATTCGGCCTGCTTTTTAAGAGGGTGTTTGTGTTGACAGCCCAGAGTCAGGATTTTTTTCTCCTCCAGTGACTCACTTGTGTGAATGCAACAACATGTAGATACATTTTTAAATATAGCTATATGAAAAGGGAATGGTGTCTTTAGTTGGTCGAGGGCCATGGTGTGTGAGTGTGTGCGGGGGTGGGGGGGGACTTCTTTGATCTCATTAAAGCAAAATGGGTATGGAACAACTGCATGGAGAAGCTGTCCTGTAGACGCCACCTCTATCCGCAAAGTGCGGTCCTTGCAAAACCTTAGCTCCTCTGCCTCTCAGCTAACGTACTGTGCCAAGCGTCGCCAGCAGCCATGCCATCGTAACATGCCGGCGAATTCAAAACCAGGTTTGAGCCTGGTAAGATCTGGTTCTCTCCCAGCCCTGTTGTGCCTGGCCTCATTGTCTGAGCCTTGAAGCATTTCTGATAATCATCTATTTTGCATTTGGAAAGGTTGGTTTCTGGTGAATCAACATTCAGGCCCCAAAGTATGAAATTACCTGTCCCAATGTGATCTTTTTTGTTTACCTGTGTGGCAGCCGGTGAATGTGGCCTCCGATATGTGTGCGCGCACATTCGGCCTGCTTTTTAAAAGGGTGTTTGTGTTGACAGCCCAGAGTCAGGATTTTTTTCTCCTCCAGTGACTCACTTGTGTGAATGCAACAACATGTAGATACATTTTTAAATATAGCTATATGAAAAGGGAATGGTGTCTTTAGTTGGTCGAGGGCCATGGTGTGTGAGTGTGTGCGTGGGGGGGTGGGGGTGGGGACTTCTTTGATCTCATTAAAGCAAAATGAATGCCTGAATTAATCAGATTAGAGTTATGAAACGGTCTCCTCCGGGCCTGTATTACTGCATCGGTTTTAGCTGGGAACAAAAATCGGTAATCTCCCTTTTGTGAAATCTTGGCCAGTGCCGTGTTTTTACTTTTGGAGAGGGTGAAGAGGAGGCGCTGGGTTCCTTTTGCAGCTGCCGAGAAGGGTGGGTGGAGGAGGGATGGGGGGGGATTCAGAAGCGGAGGCATTAAATGAAAATCAATGTTCTCTTCTCCCTACGGCAGGCCCCAGAAGTCATTATGTCGCAACACTATGACGCCAAAGCTGATCTGTGGAGTATCGGCACCATCATTTACCAGTGTCTGACAGGAAAGGCTCCCTTCCAGGTGAGTTACTTTGTGGTTAATAACGGGCTCCTATTCTGGCCTCATAATTGCCCAACTGCCTCTTCTTTACGATGGTTTCCCTCAAATGGAGATGCTTCCAGCCACATTAGGGTTGCCAGTCCCCAGTTTGGTGTGGGGGATCCCCCGGTTTTGTGGTCTCCTGCCCGCTGCTGGCCAGCTGGCCCACAGGAGGAAATCCCCCCCCCAAAGGCAACATGGAGGGACATGCCTATGTCACCCGGAAGGGAAGTGGGCACGTCGGTGATGTCGGGGGGGGGGTGCTCTGGTTTTTGGGTGAAACTCTATGGGTTGAGGGTGATTTTACCATAGAGTTTTGCCAAAAAAACGGAGTGTCATCCTCAGTGTGCCTGTGTCAGTTCCGGGTGACGTAGGCACAGTACACAATGTCACTTCTGGTGACGTTGGCACCATGAGGGTGATGCTTCCAACTCCCAGAGCGTCCCCAACCAGGGGTCATTTCCTGCAGGAGCGCACAGGAGCGGAGCTCTGGCAGTAAAGAACCCAGGGGGCGGGCACATGCAACAAGCCCCACCCCCTGCCCCCAGCAGCACTCAGTCAGAGCATGAAGCAGCCAGGTAAGTTGCAGAGCTCCCCCCCCCGGCCCCCCGGTCCAAAACAGTCCAGTGGTACCTTTAAGACCAGGTTTTATTCAGGTACAAGCTCTCCCTCCTCTGTGAGGGCAGACCTTCACGTTCCCGTCCGTCAAGATCAGTTATTGTCTACTCTGACTGGCAGCTGCTCTCCAGGGTCTCAGGTGGGGGTCTTCCAGATCACCCACCAACTGGCCCTTTTAACTAGAGATGCCAGTTGGAGTTTTAGAATACTTATGTATTTGGGGAAAAAATTCATGCCACCTCTTCATCGTCCCGCTCGCGTCTGCTAGAGAAGGAGGTTTCAGGTTCATATCTCCACAGCCGTGGAACCCAGCAGTTTGCCTTGGGCCAGTCTTTGTGTCTCAGGCTGACCTACCTCAAAAGATTGTTGTGACGGTAAAATAGAGGGTGGCTTTCCCCCTCTGAGCGATTGGGCAGAATATTGCCTGTGCACTTTGCTTTGTCCCTCTGGATCTCCAAGAGTAAGAGATCGATTTATTTTATATATATAGAATGGACGCTGGGAATGGAAATAAGCTCATGAGTCCATGAAGATCCTAAACAGGGTTGCCAGGTCCCCCTGGCCACGGGTAGGGGATGGGGGGGGGTAGGGTTGCCAGATCCAGGTTGGGAAACTCCTGGAGATTTGGGGATGGAACCTGGGGGGGAGGACAGGGACCTCAATGGGGTACAACGCCATGGAGTCCACCCTCCAGAGCAGCCATTTTCTCCAGGAGAACTGATCTCTGTAGTCTGGAGATGAGCTGTTATTCCGGGGGATCCCCAGGTCCCACCTGCAGGCTGGCACCCCTAGTCCTAAACGATTTCCCAAGGTGTGCCTTTTTTAAAAAAATCCATGGTTACAAACAAGCATCATTTCCAGCCCTAGTCACATATTCCATTTGAGACCAATATGGGAAGACATGGTTGAAACGTGGACATTCCAGAATGGCTGTCACCTCCTGTTGTTTGGGGCAGACTGTTTTTCCGGATCTTGATCTAGGTCATGCAAAAGAGAAGGGAGGGAGAATTTTCTTCAAGACGCTTCAGCAGCGTTTATGTTACTTCAGCAGCGAAATGAGTCATAGAGCCCGAAGCGCCGTTGCCGATAACGTTTGTTCTTCAAAGATCTTCTTAAGCAAACGTTATACATTCTGGGCAGTAAATACAGGTAGAGTGAGTTTTATGCAAATAGTCAAGCCGTGTTGACGCACAATAGTGGCTCTCTCTTCCACCTTTCAGAAAAGCTGACAGTGGAGTTTTGGTTTTGGTTATGGACAGGGCTTTTTTTTTTTTTTTTTTAGAAAAAGCCCAGCAGCAACTCATTAGCATAATAGGCCATACCCAATAGCAGAAACTCATTAGCATATTAGGCCACACCAATGACAGCACAGCTCATTAGCTTATTAGGCCACACACCCCATGTTACCAGAAGTGTGGTTATCCAGCCACACCCACCTTTTGCTTCTTATTCTGTTTACTTTGTTGTCAAAACCCAGGGCTTTTTTTGTAGCAGGAACTTCTTTGCATGTTAGGCCACACACCCCTAATGTAGCCAGTTGGGTGTGGCCTGTTATGCTAATGAGTTCCTGCTGGGCGTGGCCAACTTGGGAGCCAGCCGGAACTCCGTTCCTGTGCGTTCCTGCCCCAAAATAGCCCTGGTTATGGATGCCTTTTAATAATAAATAAGGATGTTCAGGACCATCCAGACAAATTAAAAACTGATCTTGGGGGGGAAAGAGATGGATTACAAATCTGGCTGTGAGGGGCCAGCTGTGGGGCCTAGCACACCTCTAAACCTGTTGCACCCCTCCTTGCGTGGATCAGACCGGCTGTCTAAGGTTCCTAACCTTCAGGTTATGCCTGGAGATCTCCTGGAATTACATCTGATCTCAAGACTACAGAGATCAGTTCCACAGGAGAAAATGGCTGCTTTGGCAGGTGGACTGTATGGAATTATAGCCCACCTTCCCAAGGCTCCACCCCCAGGGAAGACCTCAGTTCCCTCGAAAGGCCCTTGCTGGGCTCGGCCTAAGTTGGCTGCGACTTGAGGACGCTGCACATACACACACAACTCTAGGTGTCATAACAGGAACTCTCCGTCCCTCACCTAAATAAGCTTTGAGATTCACCAAGAGGCTCTTACAATCAATGACTAGGCTCCGTGTCATGAGGGATTCGGCGAGCCCTGGTATAAGCAGCGAGGAAGCGATCCCGCTCAAGCAGGGGTCCCCAACGTTTCTGAGCTCATGGGCGCTTTTGGAATTCTGGCAGGGTGTGGTGGGTGGAGCCACAGAAGGGCTGCCACAAAATGGCTACCGCAGGCAGCAGAGCCAGCCACAAAATGGCTGCTGCAGTTGCGCTTCAGCCAGGCGGTGAAGATCCTTATGCCATGGTGGCAGTTGCTGCTTTAGCAATGTTTTTTAATATCTGCACTTCCGATAGGGATGCCAAGTCCCCCCGGGGGGCGGGGAAACCCCCGCCCGGGAGGCTCGTTCCCCGCCGCCGCCGGATCAGGCCCCCACGGGGGAACCCCACCCCCAAAGCACGTCACATGGAAGTGACGCAAGCATGTCGGGGACGTTGGGGGCGGCCCCACAATCATCCGAGGGAAAACTCTATGGTTTTCCCTCGGATTATTGTGGCCCCGCCCCCAACATCCCCGACGTGCTTGTGTCACTTCCGTGTGACGTGCTTGCAGCGTGAGTGTGCTTTGCGCGTGCGCAAAGACTCCTGGAGCAAGGCTGGGCTCCCCCGCTCCGGAACAGGTAAGCACTTGGCAACCCTAACTTCCAATCAAATCTCCAAAGGCCAATCAGAAGCCGCACTGGGCAAAAGACCTACCTGGCTTTTGCCCACTTTCTAAAAACACTTGTCAGGCAACAGGAAGAGGAAGTTGGTGGGTGCCATGGCCCCCATGGGCACCCTGTTGGGGACTTCTGTGCTAAAGTGCTTTGAGATTCTTTTTATTTCAGTGGTTGAAACTTGTACAGGATTTAACGTGCTTAACATGTCGGGCTTGCGCCTGAGTGTTATTGTTCATAACATGTTTCGTTAGTCTTTTGGATAAGGGTGATCTGTCACTGCTGAGCCTTCTTTGCTTTGGTTTTACATTCCGTCCGTGACTGGGCTGGCTGATTTGCTCAGGGTAGGGGCAAAAACAGAAGGCTCTGAGAGTCGAGAGTCCATCAGTTGTGTAAACAGGCTCTGTTGGGAGACGGGGAAATGAGGGCCGGAGTGCTGATTAGACAGAACGGGGGTCTCTGGGAGGCACAGGCGAACGAGCTGGGCGTGCAGCGATGGCTGCTGTTATTGGGCCGCTCAGTACTGCAGGCTGATATGCCAACAAAGCAGTGAGCCAAAACCAAGGGAAGAAAAGGTATGCAAAGTGGCATATTCAAATAATCTGCTCGGTTTGCATAACGGCTCCCAGTTAGAGGGGGCTGGCTTGTTGCAGGGCAGTATTTAAGCAAGGCAGGGAGATGGAACAGAAGGAAAGGAACAAGAAGCATTCTGTCCGCTGGGGCTCTCTAGGGAGTCAGCTTTTAGCTTCCCTGTGGCTCCATCTCACACCTTTTATAATGGAGGGGGCTGCAGCCACTGAAAAATGGGGTTGCCAACCTCCAGGGTAGGCCTGGGGAGGTGTCTCCCAGCATTACAAGTGATCTCAGGCGCTGGCAGCTGTACGGAGAATCTGGATCTATACTCCCTGAGTAGGACTGCCTCCTCTGGCTTGAGCAATTCCTGGAGATCTTGGGGCAGTGCTTGTGGAAGGGGGGAATCTGGGGAGGAATTTTACCTGGGATCTGTGTCACACCATAGAGTCTCCCTTCCAAAGCGGCCATCTTCTCTAGGAAAATTGATCTCTGTGGTCTGGACATCTGTTGTGATTCCAGGAGATCTCCAGTCCCCACTTGGGAGTTGGCAACCCTTTCCCTGAGTGGCGAGCATCCATGTTTTCCAAGTGACATGAATTTTGGCCTTGGTATCAAGGCAGATCTTGGAGTTCTCCCAGAATTACATAAGAACACAAGAGAAGCCCTGTTGGGTCAGGCCAGTGGCCCATCCAGTCCAACACTCTATATCACACAGTGGCCAAAATCCAGGTGCCATTGGGAGGTCCAACAGCAGAGCCAGAACTCCGAAAGCCCTCCCACTGTTGCCCCCCAAGCACCAAGAATACAGAGCATCACTGCCCCAGACATAAGAACATAAGAGAAGCCGTCTTCAGTCAGGCCACTGGCCCATCCAGTCCAACACTCTATATCACACAGTGGCCAAAATCCAGGTGCCATTGGGAGGTCCAACAGCAGAGCCAGAACTCCGAAAGCCCTCCCACTGTTGCCCCCCAAGCACCAAGAATACAGAGCATCACTGCCCCAGACA